AACTGTGACCAACCAAATGGTATTATGGTTAGGGCAGCTGGTTCTCACATGACCAACTGTGTGGTTTGAGTCTTGGACATGGTGACTTGAAGGACATGCTCAGTGTGTGTGTGTGTGTGTGTGTATGCTCAAAATCCCGAGAGGAGAATGGAGGAGAAAGGGTTGTGGCATGGCCATCCCCCTTGGGGAGGGGTGCTTTCTCACTTTCCATTTCTCTCTCTCTGGCAAGTGTACATGCCCTATAGCAACAATAAAATAAATAAATAAAAGACAAAACAAAACAAGAACAGCCCCCCCCCCAAATTGATTACCTTATATTTCTGGAGCTTAGAACGCCAAAATGGGTCTGCGGGGCTGTGTTTGTTCTGCAAGCTCTAGACAGGAGTCCATTTCCTTGCCCTTCTCAACTGTGCGCCCTGGCTCGCGGCCTTTTCCTCCATCTTCGAAGGCAGCAGCCTTGCATCTTTAAATCCCGTTCTCGTCCTCTGGCCTCTGCCTCTGTCCCCACATCACTTCTCTTTCTGCCTCCATCATCATCAATTTCTCTGTCTCTGGTCCTTCTGCTTCCTTACAGAGTCCCTTGGGATTACCTTGGATGCAGGATACGTTCCCCTTCTCGAGATCCTTAATATCATGTACGAAGTCCCTTTTGCCGTATAAGAAAACATTCACCCGTAGAGAAGTGATTGTGGCATCTTTTGGGGGGAGTGAGGCATTAAATTCTGTTTACCACATTTCTTTTTGAATATGATCATTTTAGCCCACGTCTCAGTTGGTTGTGTGCCCGTGTCCTCATTAGCACAGCTCACGAGCATTTGGGTTCAGCTAGGTATAGTGACCTGAATCTCAAACTATGGCTAACCCTAACTCAAACCCTGTTACCTTCGTTTTTCCTGATTCCTCTGGAGTTTAAGAATCTGGCGGAGGTTGGGAAGAAGGCCTGGGGAGCAGTGTGTGTGTGCTCCCATGGGATCTTCCCACTCAGCCTCCTGTCTGCCCGGTTCTTTGATGGGCCTCCTGTTCCCAATCCCAATCCAAAGTAATTTAGATGAATCCTTCAGAGACTATCCTTTTGGTTTCTGAGGAAGAAAAAAATGTCTTTTTATCTGACTCATTGGGCTGGGAAAAGGAATCTGGCTATTTAACTTCTCTGCAGACAGCATTCAGGCAACGGCCCTTGTCTTGGTTAGGGATTGTATTCGACCTGACCACAGTGTTTAAACAGACAATTGTTGATTTTTTTTTTTAAAGGTTTGCCATAGGGTATATGCACTTGCCAGAAAGAGATAGAGAAAGACAGAGAGAGGGAAAGTGAGAAACCATACCCCTTTCTCCCCTGGGGTGGGGGAGGTGTGTGGCCACACCACAGTCCTCCAGTCTCCTCTAGGGATTTTGGGTATGCATGCACACACACTGGCATGATTTTCAGGCTGCCAGGTCCAGGGCTTGAACTGCATCAGCCATGTGGCGACCTAGCACACCACTTGCTGGCTCCAATAATTGTTGACTTAAAAAAAAAAAATGGACAAAAAATGTACGAGGAGTCATCCAGGCGGGTGCAACAGCTCCAAGGTGACACAAATGCCCTATTTTCTTCCATCTTTCTCTTCTGAATGTTGAGCATGTGGCTTATCGGTTGATGCCCTCTAGGCACTTTGATCATGATTGGGGCAGGACTGGACCACAGCAAAGGGACAAAACACTGGTCAGCTCATTTGACCCTTTAACTCAGGAAAGCTCCCTAGCTTGGGCCATGTGGCTACACCCAGTGACAGAAGAGTATGCGGATGGGGTGGTGCTTATCTAGCAGGGTACTCTGTGGCCCTGGATAAACTCAGTGTCTCTTATTGAGAAGCCAGGGTGATGGGCCATGGGGTAGACAACTGGAAGCTCCGCCTGCCTGTCTCCCTATCTTAGACGATTCCTGTGCTTCTCAGTACTCTCTCAGGGGCTTGCCAGAACAAATCAGAGGATAATGTCTTTTAACCTGTCATTTGTTTTTCATCTTCTAAAGCGACCTCTTTTTTTTTTTTTTTTTTTTTTTTTTTTTTTCGAGCATTTGGGTTCAGCTAGGTATAGTGACCTGAATCTCAAACTATGGCTAACCCTAACTCAAACCCTGTTACCTTCGTTTTTCCTGATTCCTCTGGAGTTTAAGAATCTGGCGGAGGTTGGGAAGAAGGCCTGGGGAGCAGTGTGTGTGTGCTCCCATGGGATCTTCCCACTCAGCCTCCTGTCTGCCCGGTTCTTTGATGGGCCTCCTGTTCCCAATCCCAATCCAAAGTAATTTAGATGAATCCTTCAGAGACTATCCTTTTGGTTTCTGAGGAAGAAAAAAATGTCTTTTTATCTGACTCATTGGGCTGGGAAAAGGAATCTGGCTATTTAACTTCTCTGCAGACAGCATTCAGGCAACGGCCCTTGTCTTGGTTAGGGATTGTATTCGACCTGACCACAGTGTTTAAACAGACAATTGTTGATTTTTTTTTTTAAAGGTTTGCCATAGGGTATATGCACTTGCCAGAAAGAGATAGAGAAAGACAGAGAGAGGGAAAGTGAGAAACCATACCCCTTTCTCCCCTGGGGTGGGGGAGGTGTGTGGCCACACCACAGTCCTCCAGTCTCCTCTAGGGATTTTGGGTATGCATGCACACACACTGGCATGATTTTCAGGCTGCCAGGTCCAGGGCTTGAACTGCATCAGCCATGTGGCGACCTAGCACACCACTTGCTGGCTCCAATAATTGTTGACTTAAAAAAAAAAAATGGACAAAAAATGTACGAGGAGTCATCCAGGCGGGTGCAACAGCTCCAAGGTGACACAAATGCCCTATTTTCTTCCATCTTTCTCTTCTGAATGTTGAGCATGTGGCTTATCGGTTGATGCCCTCTAGGCACTTTGATCATGATTGGGGCAGGACTGGACCACAGCAAAGGGACAAAACACTGGTCAGCTCATTTGACCCTTTAACTCAGGAAAGCTCCCTAGCTTGGGCCATGTGGCTACACCCAGTGACAGAAGAGTATGCGGATGGGGTGGTGCTTATCTAGCAGGGTACTCTGTGGCCCTGGATAAACTCAGTGTCTCTTATTGAGAAGCCAGGGTGATGGGCCATGGGGTAGACAACTGGAAGCTCCGCCTGCCTGTCTCCCTATCTTAGACGATTCCTGTGCTTCTCAGTACTCTCTCAGGGGCTTGCCAGAACAAATCAGAGGATAATGTCTTTTAACCTGTCATTTGTTTTTCATCTTCTAAAGCGACCTCTTTTTTTTTTTTTTTTTTTTTTTGAGAAGTTATTGCCAAAGGGTACATGTGCTCGCCAGAGAGACAGAGATAGAAAGCAAGAAATCACCCCCAGGGAGGATGGTCAAGCCACAATCCCTCCTCCTCTGTTCTCCTCTTGGAATCTTGGGCACACATGCGCACACACCCTCGGCATGAGTTCTAAGCCACTGGGTCTGGGACTCAAACCATAGTCAGCCCTGTGAGAGTCCAGCAATGTAACCATTATGCTATCGGCTGGTCCCCAAAGTGGCCTCTTTTTATCAGTCATTGTCTTCTCTCCCATTCTCCTTGTCCTTGTAGGTAATAGACTTTTTTTTTTTTTTTTAATTGCCAGGGAGAGTGCTCAAGCAAGAGAAAGAGAGAGGAGCCAGCAGATGGCATAGTGGTTAAGATGCTAGACACTCCCACATGGCCAACCACGGTTCAAGTCCTGGACGTGGTGGCGTGCTTTCTCACTTTCCCTCTCTCTCTCTCTCGCTCTCTGTGTCTCTCTCTAGTTGAATGAAAATAAATGAATAAATAAATAAAATTAAGTAAATAATTCTTTAAAAAAATAAAGAAAAAAAAAGAGTACTTCTCCAGGAGGGTATGGCATGCTGCAATCCTTTTTTGTTATTGGATGGGGAGCTGAGCTGCATCATATGAAATACTTGTTTTTTTGGGTCCAGAGACCTGTCCTGAGATGCAGAATGAAAAACCACAAACATATGTAAAGTAGGAAGAGAAGCTTTTAATAGAAAAGTAAAAATTTTTAACAGAAGAAATACACCTCCACACCAGAAAGGCATGTGGGTGGTCAGCTGTCAGAGAAGGACATGCGTGCTGGGAATGGGGTTAGGTATTACTTTTATTTTGGGATCATCTCATGAATATTTAGGAAGGGAAGTCTATCATTGTAGCTGGTTTCTTCATTTGAATTTGTGAGCTTTTTAAATTTTTATTTATTTATTTATTTTTAGGTTTTTGCCATAGGGGAAGAGGAGAGAGGCAGAGAGGGAAACCGAGAACTTACCCCTCGGGGGGCATGACCACTCCATAATCCCTTCTATATTCTCTCGGTATTTGGGGCATGCACATACACGCACCCGGTATGATTTTTAAACCATCACGTACAGGACTCGAACCATGTTCAATTGTGTGAGAATATAGCTGTCTCAGTCACTGGATTGCTGGCCCTGGATTTGTGGGTTTTTATTTGTGCTTGCATACTTCTTCTTGGGTAAGGAATCTGGTCACCCAATTCCACATGCTTAGTGTGAACTTTGAAGGTATGAACATCCACACAGGGACAATTCTGCCCATGTCAGTCTATTGCCCCGAGTGGGACATAGGGTGTTGACCAAGCATCCCGGTGAATTCCTCTGTGCATGTGCAGAACGGCAGGACGGAAGGTAATAACCTTCCCTAAGATTTTTGAAGAAAGCTTAGGTATTAAAGAGCTAAAATGAGATCAGCTTCTCCCTCCTGGCACCAGGAGCTGGGAGGGAGGAAGGAGTCCCCGGAGAGTCTGGTTGTGTGCCCTGCTAAGCTGTGACTTCTGAGGCAGATTCCCTTCTGCTCCATGTCAGGGCTGTTGGCTCATATCTGGTTGCCTACCTATGACAGCTCCTCCGTTTCTCCATCTCGTGAGGAACCTGGACATGCACGCACAGGGAAAGTCTGCTTCCTTTTCCTCTTTCTCTCTGTGTGTGAGGCTGCCTTGCTCTCTGGGTCTGTTGGCCATGATGCAATGTAGCACCAGATGTCCGGTCTATGCTCTTGAAATTTCCAGGCACCAAAACCGTGAGTAAAATAAATCATCTCTATAAATCATCCAGCTTCAGGCACTATTTAGCAGTACAATAATGGGCTAAGATGGGATATGTGTGGGTGCAAAATGATTCTGCCTGAATTTGGACGCCTATGAATATTTTTAATGTATATCCGGACTATGTCTTTTAAGCTCAGAAGCCAAAAATTTGAGGTCTGGAAGTCTCATTGGGACAGGAATCATGGTATTAAGATAAATATAATAAGAGGGAAAAAGCACATAATTTTATTCCATTACATTCAGTTAAAAAAATCAAATGGGACAAATAATTAAAAATGAAAGTAATAGTCTCTTCTTCTTCTGCTTGCTCCCACCTCCCCAACAGTGATGTTATTATGCAGAGGGAACCACTTTAAAACTTTATGACTAGAAAGACTTCTAAAATAGGACCCCCAAAGCACAGGCAATAATTCCCCAAATAGACAAGTGGAATTACATCAGATTAAGGTTTCTGCACAACCAAAGACACAGTAATTAATGTGAATCGACAACCTTCAGAATGGGAGAATATTTTTGTAAACTGTGCCTCAGTTAAGGGACTGATAATCAGAATACACAGGGAACTCAAGCACCTTACACCCCACCCCCCCCAAAAATGATTAACGCAATTAAATGATGGGAAAATGAGCTGAACAAAAATCTCTCTAAGGAAGACATATGAACAGCCAAAAAGCCTACGAGGAAATGCTCAACATCTCTTATCATAAGGGAGATGCAGTTTGAAACCGCAATGAGATACCACCTAACCCCAGACAGAATGGCAAAGGTCAAAAATACAAAAAGTGCTAAGTGTTGGTGGGGATGTGGTGAAAGGGGAACTCTCTTACACTGCTGGTGGGGATGTAAATTGGTCCAGCCACTGTGGAAAACAATATGGAGGTTCCTCAAAGACCTACAAATAGAACTACCACATGATCTAGCAATCCCACCCCTGGCTATCTATGCAAAGGACAGGAGAACGCTCAGCCGGAAATGTGCTTACACGTCAATGTTTATTGCAGCATTAGTCACAATTGCTAAGACATGGAACCAACCCAAATGTCCATGAACAGATGAGTGCATTGGAAAAATGTGTGACATATACTCTATGGAATACTTTTCAGTCATAAAAAACAAGAAGACCCCGGCATTTGATAGAAAGAGGTTGAATAGGGAAAATTTATTGCTGAGTGAAGCAAGCCAGGTTGTGAAAGAAATAAATTATTTGTCTCCACTTACTATATCCTGACTATCCATACTCTATGATAAATACTGAAAGACTGGAGGGCATAAAGGCATTGAAAATTGTTATGGGCACTGAAGATAGTGTGGAAGGAGGGTGGGAGAGGGGAAGAGTATAGGGAAGGAATTTAGGGGGGCAAATAGAGAGGCAAGACATTTGTGGGACACAGTAATGGTTTATTACCTGATGATGATAACGTGTGTAGTATTATTAACTGGACTGGTCTCAGGTGTATTTCATGTTGAGTACATTTTCTATGCAAGCCAAATTATGTATAGTGATCAAATGTATAAAATATAATAATAAAGTAAAAAATTCTTTATGACCAGGGATCAGCAGATAGCATAATGGTTACATTTCTGAACTCCCATTTAATCAACCATGGTTCAAATCCCAGACCCAATGGCTTAAAGCTCACACCAGGCATGTGTGTGTGTGTATGCTCAAGATCCTGAGGGGAGAATGGAGGAGAAGGGATTGTAGCATGGCCATCTCCCTTGGGGGGTGATTTCTCGCTTTCTGTTTCTCTGGCAAGTCTATGTGCCCTAGCAAAAATCCCTTTTACTAAAAAAAAAAAAAAAAAAAAAAAACCCAACTCAACCCAACCCAAACCAAACCAAACCAAACCAAAAAACAAAACAAAAATAAACTTTAAGGCTAGGGCCAGCAGGTGGCATGGTGGTTAAGGCACTGATTCCCACATGGTTGATTGTGGTTCAAGTCCTGGACCTGGTGGCTTGGAGATCACAACAAATGGATAGATAAATAAATGAATAAATGTAAAAAACAAGTTATGGCTATGTCTCCTAGGAGTTTGCTCTAGCTCTCTGCTAGTAACTGCGTACATCTGCATCTGTCTGCTTTGACAATATTAGACATTACTTACTGGCTTTTTGCTTGGCTAGATGCAGATTTAGTTCATTTATGGCTTCCTCATCTTTTGTGCTTTATTCTTTCTATTTGGGTTACCTTTTTAAAAGTTTAAATAAAATAGTACTCCTTTTTTGAATTATTTAATTTTGATTTATTATTATTATTATTATTATTATTTAATTTGACCAGAGAGAGATGGAGAGAGAGGGAAAGTGAGAAAATAAGCTGCCGTGTTTAGACTCAAGCCACGGTTGAGTCCAGTCCGTGCCACCTTCTGGGCCCGGTATACTTACCCTTAATTCCTACTTTTATTCCCAGGAAACAGCATCTCCTGCTTCTCATTTTGTAAGATCAGGATGTTGGTGCTGTGAATGTCTCTTCATTTCCCCCCCTTCTCATCTCTTCTCTCTTTTAATGTGAATCTATCATTGAATTGTAAGTGCCTTGATTATAGCTTGACTCTAAAAGTTGGAGATAATTACTTGTAACTTTGTAAAACGTGTCACTGCAGATCCGTATCAAGTATTGTGATGCTGTTTCTTGTTTTACACAGTGTTTGTTTTTTCCTGAGGTTTCTGTTTCGTTCTTTCCTTATCTGGAGTAACAGATCTTTATGTTGTTGCCATTCCCCAGTGTAACACACCCTCCCCATCCTCTTTTTCCCCAGATTCCTCCCCATTTCCTCCTGTGTTTGTGTTGGTTGTTTTCAAAGTCGATTGCCTAGGACTGTAAAGAGTCACATACAAGTATGAAATAAGAGGGCCAGGGCTTGAATCTTTTCTGAAGACCTCTCCCATTTCTGTTAAAGGCGGAATCCAGCATCTTCTGGAATATTGGGTCATTGGAAAAGTCATGATGTGTTTTTCTATGCAAAAATGCATCAAGACTTCCGACGACCCAATACTTCTTCAGCTTGCAGGCTCCATGTCATGGGAGTCCTTGGATTCTCTAACTGTGTGAGCCAATTGCCGTGGACATTTCCTCTTATGTGTGTATACGTGTATCCCATTGGTTTTGTTTTTTGGAGAACCCTAATACATGGATCTTATCTACTTTGTTAATTTGCTTCCTCATTTTGTTGGAGTGTGTACTCAAGTGACTCCCCAAGCTCATCATTGTTCTGTGTTTCTTTTTCTTTTTTTGAAAGAGAGATTTGCTGTATGTCTCTCTGTGCATTCACCCGAGAGACAGAAAGTGAAAAATCACTCCCCAGGGGAGATGGTCACACCACAATCCCTTCTCCTCCATTCTCCCCTTGAGATCTTGGGCACAAATGCACATGCGCCCGGCATGAGTTTTAAGCTGCTGGGTCCGGTACTTGAACTGTTATCGACTACATGGGAGTCCAGTGATGTAACCATTATATAATCTGCTAGTCCCACATTGTTGTATGTTTTAATGTGCTATTTTTGTCCTATGGTTTCTGGTTATCTATAAAACAAAGGTCACAGAGAAAAAAGGAGGGCACAGAGCCCTCTAACATTTAGCCTTAATGACCTTTCCATGCTTCGCTTCCACTCTGCCTCCCCTTACGGTATTTTGTGTTTTTGCCACACTGAGTTGGCATCTGCTCTTCCGCCGATGTGCCATGCTTTGTTTCTTGCATAGGGTTTTCCTGTGCCAGGAAGCACTTTCTCCCCAAATCATGGTTCACATTTTCCAAGATGCTAACCCAGATTTTGCTGAGTCAAAATCATTAGCTTCTTTAGCACTTTTTTTTTTTTTTTGGTAGGTTTTTGCCATGGGACACATGTGCTGCCTGAGGACAGGGAGGCAGAGTGAGAAATCACCTCTCACAGGGGATGATTACATGGCAATCCCTTCTTTATTCACCACTTGGGACTTTGGGCATGTATGCACACATATCCTGCATGCTTATCTTTTCTTTCTTTTTTTTTTTTTTGGAGAGGTTTTTGCTATAGGGTGCGTGTGCTCACCAGACAGAGAGAGACAGAGAGACAGAAAGTGAGAAATCACCCCCCAGGGGGGATGGCCATGCTGTAATCCCTTCTCCTCCATTCTCCTCTCTGGATCTTGGGCACGCATGCACACGTGCCCGGCATGAGTTTAAGCCACCAGGTCTGGGACTCGAACTGCGGCTGACTATGTGGGAGTCCAGTGACATAGCCATTACACTAACTGCTGGTCCCTCGCTGCATGCTTTTCAAGCCACTGGGTCCGGAACTCAAACTGTGGTCAGCCACATGGGAGTCCAGTGCCTTAATCATCACACCACCTGCTGGCTCCTCCTTTAGCCCTTTTAAGTAAGTGTTACTATAGAATTTAGGAGTCTTTCTAGTTTTAGAGTTAATTTCATTTTCATAAACATCTGACTTCCTGACTTCCCCTACTTGGTTGTGACTTCTTGGTTGTGGCCAATATAGCTCTCGAATATACTAAGAGGCATATTGACTTGATTCTATTGAACGATTTTAAAAGGTTTTCACCTTGAATTTGGTGTCCTAAGGTCTCCAGGCAGAAGGGTTGTATAGGGTCACACATGGTTGAGGTGAGAGAGCCAGGGCTTCGATTCTGACCTTCCATCTTGAAGTCTTATGCTCCCCCATCCCTAAATGATGAAGTATCCTGTGCATTCTCATGGTGTAGCTAACTGAAATACACACACACACACACACACACACACACACATATATATATATATATACACATACACACTTTTGGAAAGGACTAAGATGTAATTAATAAAGAATAAAATCCTATTTGTCCTATTAATTTATTACTTACACTATGCTTTGAACTTTTAAATATTGATAGCTTTTATCTAGTTATCATGATGTTCTCATCCTAGGCTTCGAGTGTCAGGAACCCACCTGGCCTTGAGCTTTTTGCCAAGTGGGTCCTCAGTAACAATCCTGT